CAAGCACCCTCCTACTTACAAGCACCCTCACATGCATTAAGTGCTTTTTCCTGCTTCCCTTTATCATTGCTCCTTACCCACTGCTGTTTATATTTGGATCTTTATTTCCCTTATTTATTCACACTGTAATCTCCTGAGTACAAGCCACCCTGTACTTTTCAGTGCTAAATTAAAAGTAAAGAACAAAAGCAAACAAAATAACATATTACTGTTTTTTAAAATAATAACAATTATAGATTTTAAAATTATTGTACTTGTGTCAGAGAAAACAAAGCTAGACTAAATAGGAATTGTGTTCTGGTTTTTGTTTGTTTGTTTCTTCCCATCATAATTAATCCATGTAAAAAATTCACCCAAATTGTAAGATCTTGCTCTAAGAATTCTGGGGTATTCAGTTCTAGACTCCTTGAATATTTTTATTAACATCTTGTATGATGTTCAGAAAATCTGTTTTTTAAATGATCATTTGTGGGGTTAATTTTTTTTAAAAAAAGAAGATAAAAACTAAAGTGCAAACTGGCCTAGCTCAATCAGTGAAAGAGTCCAACAATTTTGGGTTTTATTTCATCTTCACTTGTTCACATTTATATAAGTAAGCCAGATAACACCCAATTTTGAGTGTCCATACAAATAAAGAATTTACCGTAAAAAGCAATACAAAAATAACACATGTGATACATTAGAAGAAGACTGTGCACCATTACTTTTTCCATAAGTGAAAATTAAGGGTTGCACAGCTGACCTCCCTGGAAAGAAAGACAATGACTACCTGCAATGAATAAAAGTGTCAAGAAATATACTTTCATAAAAAACTCTTTTCCTTATCTATTTCAAAATATGGATCCAATAATAGTTGATATTAGGTTTACTTTATATGAATAAGGATTAGCTGAGTACCTATATGTCATATATATATATATATATATATATATATATATATATATATAACTTATATGAATAAGTTTGTAAATTCCAGAATAATATATATTAAAAAAAAACACAATTAAAATCATCCCCTTAATAAGATGTAAATCTGGGGCAGTGAACCTTCAGTATTAGATTTGTAGAAGAAGGATGTGAAATGATCAAATTCTTTATACCTAATAGTAAATTACAATGGGCCAACATTTCAGCCATCAATCTCAATCCCTAATCCAGACATTTTTATTAAAACTTTCAACTAGATGTTGTATTGCTATTCATTAGTCACTATATTTTAGGTCAAAAGAAAAACTAAAATAAATATAAAAATCTAATAAAAATCAGCATGAAGAGAAAAATAGGAAAAGAAGAATATTCATCTTTAAAGAGCTGATAACTTTTAATATTAACATAAAAATAACTTCATAGTATATTAATGTTTTTAATTAAATACGCTTCCTTTTTTGTTTTCTAAGTAGAAAAAGGACCAATTGTTCCAGGCATAAAATTGCAAAAAATATATTTAAATATAGAAATAAATTTTAGTATTCACAAGTTTGGAAGACAGAAATAGTGTTGAACTAAAATTTGCTTTCATACAAGTGAATAATAATTAAAAACAGGGCAGAGAAGTTATATAAAAAAAAAAACTTCCATCAAAACTTAGAAAATTCAAAAGAAATATGTATAGAAACTTTCATACTAGTAAGGATTAAAAAGTCATATTCTTGTTTTTACAATCTTCCAAAGAATAGAAAGTGCCTTATAGTTATTTAAAAGTAAGTTTTTATTAATACTATAAAATACCGTTGATTATATTCAGCAAAAAAAGAAAAACTTCAATAGGAAAATACAGAGTGGGCAAAAGTAAGTTTACAGTGATTTGTATGGAAAATAATACAATAATTAATAATGCAAGAATAAACTAGTTTGCATACTCACAATTGTAAACCTACTTTTTATTTTTTTACAAAAAGGAAGAGAGAGGGAGAGAGAGAGAGAGAGAGAAACATCAATGAGAATCACTGATGGGTTGCCTCCTGCATGCCCTACACTGGGGACTCAGCCTGTAACCAGGCAGGTGCCCTGACCTGGAATTGAACCCTGACCTCCTGGTTCATAGGTCAACACTCAAACACTGAGCCATGCTGGCCAGGCTGTAAACCAACTTTTGCTCAACTCTGTGTAAGTGAAATTAAATTAGGTAATAGGAATAACATATATAGACTATAATTATTATCATTAAATATAATGGGTTTTGGTTTCTTAAAATTCTGTATATTTCTCTGTATTAAAGATACATAAATCCAATATTTTAAATGTCAAAAAGGGATTAAAGGAGGAAATTGAATATGTGCAGTGGTTTTTATAAGAAGACTGTATAAGACTAGTGTCAAAATGATTTAGTATATAATCTTTTTAAAAATATAGTTGGCTGTTTTAGGTCACTTCATATCAGTCCCTTAAAAAAAAATAAGGGAAACATATTAAAAGCAAATCCCCCACCTAATTTTGCTGAATGTTATCAGTTCCCTAATAAAACATGACTCCTTTTTAGTGAAGTCTAAGGAAATGATGTGAACTATGAGAATTCGTTTTAATTACCATGGCTGCAAGAAAAACCAACTGCAAACTACAACTGGCTGGATGCTGAGCTGCCACCAATCAACTTCCTTGCTTCACAAAAAAAGCAAGGAAGAATTTCCCCATATTTTGTTTAAATATAAATTGATGCCACATGCCAATCATTTTAACTTCCAGCAATGATATCTTCCTAACTAATCAAAAGCAAAATATTTTAATATCATACGTATTATTTTAATTGGAATATCATACATATTGTTTTAATTGGATGTTGTTTTTATCACCTTGTGTTGATATAGCACCTTGGTCCAAATTTGCCAACATTATCAATCTTTTATTATTTTTTAATCAGGACATTCCTGAAGGTACATGTGGTACATGGTCTTATGCATAGAAATCATTATCAATGTTCTGAACCACTATACAGACTGAATAATTCAGATTCATTGTACTTTGTAAATAAATAAATAAATAAATAAATAAATAAATAAATAAATAAAATTCATATGTAAATTAATTCTAATTATTTCTAGCTTTGTTAAAATAAAACTTGATAAAGTCTAAAAGCATCTAAAATATGTTGCCTGGAAAGGATATTTGCTTTAATAAATGGCTTTACATGTTTGGAAAACTAGAGAGCAGCATGGAAAATGACCTTTAAATTCTAATTTTAAATTTGCAATAGAGCAATCAATATGGTAATCTACTCTTCAATAAGAATTTCAAAGCAACACATAAACATGGGTTCCTTGAGAGACTGCACCGTATTAACAAAGTAGGTCTAGCACAGAGAGATTACACTGCTTGTTCTATTAACAGAGCAGGCACATACTACAAATATTAATGCAATAAACATATCTACAGCACAACTGCTTCGCTTGACCCAAACTACTCACTCAGTTCAAGCAGTGGTCAGTAACACAACATGCTAAGTTAAATAAAAAAGCTGTATGTAGCTCGTTGAAATTAATTAGACAGCATATGATCTATTCAAATTATTTATTGCAGTTATCTTAATGAACATGTACATCAGAACCAGGTTGAAAATTTTCCACCATGCCCTACAAACTTTAATTTCTACACTGTCTGTAAGCGTAGTAAATACGTGTCTGATGTGGAATGACAGAACAGCTAAACTGCTTTCATCTAGCAATTTACTGGGCAACATGGTCAAGTCGTTAGGGTAAGATCTCAGTAAATGACACAAGGTCCAAACTTTTCAAAGCAAATTGGGCCACTTTTAAGTACAACATCAATTGAGACTATGTAAAACAACATATATTTGCAGAGTGCAAGTTGAAACTTCAAATCTCAATTTATAAATGTATCCGATTTTCATTTTATCAATGCTAAATTTGGAAACTGGCTATGATTCTTTATGCAGGCTCAGATAAAATTTTTATGATTCTGTTTAAGGACACCCTTTTAAAGTTGTGAATACTTGAAAACTACCCAAACCCATCAAAAAGATGAATTGTAGATAACACACAGAGAACTGGGCTAACATCCTAGTTCCCAAACTCTAATTGGGCGAGTGATTAGGGTGGGCTTCTCTTCGTGGTGATCGTAGTGCCCTCTAACGACTACATGAACTTTGCTTTAGCAACCACTCTTATGTGCAATTTGTTTTAGCATTTATACTGCTGATGATAGGAGGCAATCTACTTTAATGGATGCTGAAAAGCTTTAAAGTGAAATCGGTAATTGACAAGGGCTTCATAGAACTAGGCAATTGAGAATAAAATTAACAAGAGGCTCTACAGGAAAAGCACTCAGGCTTTCACAGAATACTTCTTTAGGAAAATATTTAATAAAAGTGAGATTTTAAAGAACCAGGTGTTGCTTCTTCCACGTTATTAACTGTTGTGGATATAGTTGTTTTTTTTAGTTTGTTTTTGGGAGGGCGGCCTCTGTGTTCCTTCAAAAGATGTCTTTAGACCCAGTTAATGTTATTGGGTCTAGAGGAATAATCCACCTGCTGATATGCTGATACTATTAAGGAGAAGGGGCAAAAAAGAAATAATGAAAGGAAGAAGAGCTCTAAGGAAAAGTTGGGGTAACTTCAGCACCTATTTCTTCAACATCAAAGCTGCTTAGTTTTAGTACCTGAAATTGAATGAAGCATAAAGTACTGGCCACAAATCCAAAGAGCTCTAAAGAGCAAAGCAGCAAGGCTAAGGCAGGACACAGGGCACACTCATTTACCTCTGGGTTCCCGGAAACCACGCAGCTCCTTAAGTGTCACTGGGGCACAAAGTGATGCCAGCACAACCAAAGGATGCTTGGGAAGCGCAGGCCAGTGAGTGGAGCAGGGACAGCACTGTCCACTGTGCTTTCTGGGCCCAAGCCCTAACCCCCATCCCTACCCCCAGCGGAAGTTTACCTGCGGGAAGGTGAGACTCAGGGGACGGGGGAGGTTCTCAGGGTGGAGGGTGGAGGGAAGAGGGTGGAGGGCGGGCGGTGGCCAGGTGGGGCGGAGGCCGGGCCGCACTCACCTTGAGCAGCTTGCAGCGGATCTGCGCGGACACCATGTGGCTGTTGCGCAGGTTGCCCACGCGGAACATGAGCGTGAGCTTGCCGTCCCGCATGGAGATGACCGCGTGCTCGCTGAACATGAGGGTCTCGGCGCGCTTCTTGGGCTGGGACATCTTGATGAACATGCAGCCGATGAGGAAGGCGTCCACGATGGAGCCGAGGATGGACTGGAAGAGGAAGAGGATGATGCCCTCGGGGCACTTGTCGGTGATGTAGCGGTAGCCGTAGCCGATGGTGGCCTCGGTCTCGATGAAGAAGAGGAAGGCGGAGGGGAAGTTGTAGACGTTGGCCACGCAGGGCGTGTAGTTGCCGACGTGCGCCTGGTTGAGGTCGCCCCGCGTGTAGGCGATCACCCACCACATGGACGCCATGAAGAGCCAGGCCACGGTGTAGGTGAGGATGAAGATGAAGAGGTTCCAGCGCCACTTGAGGTCCACCAGCGTGGTGAAGAGGTCCGAGAGGTAGCGGCTCGTCTCGCTGCCCAGGTTGCCGTGCTGCACATTGCACCGGCCGTTCTTGTCCACGAACCGCTGCCGCTTCTTCTTGGGCACCAGCTGCTGCTGCTGCTGCTGCTGCTGTGGGCCCTGCTGGGGCTGCAAGCCCGAGCCGCTGCTGGACGAGGTGGTCACTACCTGGTAATCGTCCCCAAATTTCCTTCGGAGTGCAGACATAATACGGAGGGGCGAGCCAGAGTCACAGGCGGCGAAGGGAAGGCGCAGGAGCAGGAGCCCAAGCGCTGCAAACCCGCACCGACAAGGAGGTGGGGGCGGGGAGAGAGTGGGGAGCGGAGGGGGGTGGGCAGAAGGGGGCGCACCTGGCTTTGGGGTTGGCGGGGGGCGCACCGGCCGGTAGCGGCGGTCTCTGCAGTCTCCCCTCTCCTCCCTCTGGGACGGAGGCTTTCCCCCACCCCGAGCCGAGTCTTTAAAAAGTGTCCCCCCGCACCCCAGGCAGGAGGGCAGCCAGGACCGCAAGCTCTCCGAGGCGCCTCTGCTCTCCCCCCACCGCCGGCATCCCGGCCGCCCCTTCCTGCTCGCCTGCCCGGCCCTCCCGGCTCTCCTGCCCGGCTGACTCTTCAGAGGAAGAGTTGACAGGCGAGTTCCTCTCCACCTGCCAACTCGCCCGGCTGCCCAGGCTGCGCTACCTGCTGGGACCGGACCCTCCCCTCACCCCGATCGCCCGCCCGCCCGCCCCCGGCAGGACCGCTCCCGCCTGCCCCCGGCGCTCCCCCGCCCCCCGCTCCTATCTTTTGGCCAAAATCCCGCCCAAAGGCATGTCTGCCAAGTAGTGTTGCAACACCCCTTACCCACGCCTCCGGGCTCAGAGTCCCCGCTCCGCACCCGCACTCCGGAGAGGTGTCGGCCGGCGGCCGAGTGTCCGAGGGCGCCCCCGGCCCAGGGCTCCCCCGCCGCCGCCCCCGCGCGCAGCGGAGCGGACCCGGAGCCGGAGCCGGAGCGGAGCACTCACCCCGCGGCCTCCGGGGCGCTCGGGGCTGCTCTCCGCGCCCCCACTTGCCCTGCCGCACCCCGGTGGGCGCCGGTTCAGTGCCCCCCGCCCCCCGAGCGCCGTAACTTCCAGAGGGCAGAGCGCTGCCCCCGCCGGCGGGATCCCGGAGCCTCGGGCACTTGGGGGTTCCCGGACCCCGTGCTTTGCCTGCCGGCGGCTGCAGATGCACCGCGGTAAAGGGTTCGAGCCTCTCGAGCTGCGGGTCACTTTCAGGTTAGAGGCAAGCGGCACTCCAGCTTCTCCCCGGCGGCAAGGTGCTCTCCTTCCCCTCCGTCCTCCTAGGTCTTCCTACTGGGGGGCTCGGGTGGGAGACGCCCGGCGCCGGCGGGAGAGCGAGGCGGTGCGGGTGCGGGTGATCGGCTGCAGAGCCGCGCTGGCCCCGCCTGTCCCCGCTTCCCCCGCGGCTCCTCCAGCCCCAGTGGCCCCTCCGCGCCTCAGCGGAGCCCGCAGCGTCTGGCAGCTCGAGAAAACGAGCCTCTCCAATGAGAAGCGCTTCTCCGTTGGCTCCCAACCGCCAGGCAGCACTCCCTCCTCCTTCGCCGGCTCCGCATCAGGCAGCAAGCCCCCAGCCAGCAGCAGATGCTGGTCTCTGAAAGCAAAGGAGTGCAATCTGGCTCTCTATCGAGAGGGCTTAGAAACCGATGCCTGGACTGGGAACTGCCTCGCAGAGATCCCAACTGGCTCCCGGATAAGAGTGTCTAGAACTCAAAGTTGCCAGGAGCAAAGGGGGCCTTGGAATGAGGACAGAAAAGAGAAGACACACTTATGGGGAAGCCCATCATCATCTTTCCTGAAAATGGCTCTAGTGAAAAGGCTCAGGATGCCCAGCATGAACGTGTGGCTGTCACTGAGGGAGGAAGGCTGGCTTGGAAGGGCCCAGGCTTGGCAGTTCACTTAATGGAGGGTCAAAGTGCAGAAATAGCTAATCCAGTGCCCATGTGTAAACACCAGCTTAGTTACCACCTCTCATGTTTGTTTTAAGAATGCCATGGTATCTTGTGGCATATTCATTGCATTCAGGCCTTTCCGTACAGATGTATAACATTGATTTTGTTAGAGGGAAAAAATCACATCCTGAGATTATTAAAGCAAAAGGCTGCTACAGGAAAATAGGCACATAATCACTCTGCCAATTCTCTGCCTGTAGGCACTCCCCCCTACTTCTCTACCCTGAAACCTTCCTGCAGGCAAGTGTGTGTCACCTTCTGAGCCACAAACCAAGGGCTCTTCACTGTCATTTAGCTAAAACAGCTACCCGGAGTTACAGGCTCTTCTCCTGCAGGCCCTCTGATAAGAGGCCAGTAATTCTCTTATTCTTTAGGATTACATAAGAAGGGAAAGTGACACTGCGGGAGGTGGAAACTGTTCCGGACCTGGAATCATAAGACCTGATTTGGGTCCTGGCCCTGCCATTCACAATCTGTGTGACCTTGAACAAGCAGCTAAGTATATTTGGGCCACAATTTCCTTCTCTGAAAAATTGGGAGTTTCAATACAGTTCCAAAATTTGCATGGGAAAAGAGAAGAAAGGTGGTTCTATGAACTACCTTTGCTGCCAGGGATGTTATCTACTAGGCGATAAAAATGCAACAAAGCCAAGAGGAGATTAGAAATGAGTTTTTGGTGTTGACCCTGTCCAGTGAACTTATATGTGTATATTGTTTTCTTGTTTCTGACTGCTCTCCTCTGACTCACTATGCCCTTAACAGGCTGGCTTCTTTCATTTCCTGAAACCCACCAAAGCATTATCCCCCTCCTTATACCTTTGTGTTATCTGTTCCCTCTTTCTGGAATGTTCTTGTCCTACTGTTCCATGTAACTGGCTCCTTCTTTCATTCAACCTGGATGCTTCTTCCTAGAAAGAGCTTTACTAGCCCTGTACTCTCTAGCACATCATTTGGCTCATTTTCTTCACAGCACTTTTTTCTAAAGAATATTGTCTTCATTTGTTGTCTTTCTCCCATCAGTCCTGGAATGCAAGTTCTACAAGAACTAGAACTTTGGCTCTCTCGTTTACTATGCCCCTAACACTTAGAACACAGCCTGTCATATACCAGGTCCACAATTAATAACTGTTGGATCAATAACATGTACCAATCCATATCACTAGGTACTTCACATACTTTGAAACTCTTTCTGAGTAATACAAAATTAAAAGTCATCACTCAGTCAGATCACTTATATGATCCCATATAAAAATAGGGGGATGTGTTAATTGACTGTCACACCCTCACAAGATGGAGGTGCTCACAGCCAATAAAGAGGGAATATGCTAATTGACTGCCACACCCTCACAAGATGATGGCACCCACAGCCACAAAATGATGGTGCCCAGTCCTCTCAGCCCCGCCTCATCCAGCTGGAGTCCCCTAGTCCTCTCAGCCCTGCAAGGGAAGGCAGTTGGGGATCATGCCAGCAGGGGAGCAGTTAAGGTGTCTATCAGACAGGCAGGCAGAATGGTTAGGGGCAATCAGGCAAGCAGGCAGGTAAGTGTTTAGGAGCCAGCAGTCCTGGATTGTGAGAGAGAATGGGCCTAAACCTACAGTCAGACATTCCCTTTGGGGTCCCAGATTGGAGAGGGTAGAGGCCAGGCTAAGGGACACTCTGCCCCCTGTGCACGAATTTTGTGCATCAGGCCTTTAGTTTAATATAAAAGAACATGTAAATAAAAAAGGAATACTTCCTATGCTTCTTAGGTATAGAATGGACATTCAATCAGATGCTGAATTCTTTTGATATGATTTCCCCTCTCCTTTTAAAAATGCTACTATCTTTCTTTAAATCCCAATTTCAGTTTAGGCCCAATGTGAAATAATTTTCTTGCCTACAGTCTTTTACTCTTTCAAACTATCCTAGATAGTATTTACTAGGTCTATTTTCTTAGAACCATAAAAGTTTAGTAAGGAAATGAAAATGAAAGAATTCTCCTATTATTTCATTTCCAAGCGTTTACTAGTAAACATTCCTACTTTTTTAAAAATATCACTTTTCTATGGGAAACCTTGGCCATTTTTCAGCAACCAAATTTATAAACAAACAAGTAATTTTATACCTCAAGAGACATAATTTAATTTAATCCTCTCATTTAACAAATAAGCACATTGAGGCTAGAAAGAGAAAATAACCTGTTCAGTGTTAGAACTCTGAGATTTGAACCCAGAACATTGTACCTCTAGAACCAGAGAGCTCTGCCATCCCTTCGCAGATGCCTGGAAGACAGGCTTGGATTTCTGATTCATAATCAGGGCCACCCTCCACCATATCATGCTTCTCGGAAGGCTGAGATCTCAGGTCCTTAAAATGTGCCTAACCTATAGTTCCAAAACTACCTCCTATCCCGCCTTTAATGGGGCAATACTCCAACCAACTTTGACCCTATCAATTCCCCCAAAATGCCCTCTATGGGTTTCATTTGCTCAGCTTCCTCCCTGTCACTTAAGTATCCTCTTCCTATCCCTGCGAAATCCAAATCACTGTCACTGGGGAAGGAAATAATTTCTTTGGTTTAAATAATTTCTTTTGGCTCCAGTGCCACCTCCCCCATGAAGCTTTACATTATCTTTCCACTAACACAAATCTCTCCCTTTCTGAATTCTTACTTCCCTAGATTTGTAATGTGCCTTTCCCCCACCTTTCTAGCCTGTATTTGAGCTCGGAATTTACCCAAGATTTTCCTCAAGAGCACCCTGAACATCTACCTCTTAATATTTTGACACCATTCAGTACTCCATTTATCCAACCTTGCCTTGCACATGGTAAATATTCATAAATATTTGAAGAGGACTAAAATGTATTGAGCTCACTTCAATGTGCCAGGCAATATTGCTGCTGCTTGGAACTTTACAATTAGTATTCCCATTGCATAGCTAGAGAGAGGATAGAGCATGTATTCCAAAACATAGCTGCCCTTCGTCAAGGTCTTCATTTTAAAGAAACAGTACTTCTTGAAACATTAACTATTTCTTCAGGATGCCATAATGTCACAGGGTCAGTGTGGCTGAGCCTTGACCTCTCGGTGACATTAAGTCCAACTCCTTGGAAATATTTAAAGATGAACGAGACGCTTCTTCTGTCAGCACAGCTGCTGCCATGCTGAGGTCCTGGAGGCCGGCCAGCCCCGCGGTGCCAAAGCCGGGCCGGATGTGTGGGGAATGGATGACAGAAGGCC